ACAGTAAGCAAAATGAATATCAAGGACCTCCCAAACTTTTCAAAATTTATCCAGTCATTCAGCACCTAAATAACAAGTTCCAAAATCTGTATCTTCTGAACCAGAACATTTCGATAGACGAGTCCTTGACTCTATGGAAAGGTCATTTGTCTTTCAGACAATACATACCCCTCAAGGCTGCCAAATTTGGCATGAAAACGTATGAACTCTGCGAGTCTAGCTCTGGCTATGTTTGGTCTTTTCTCGTTTATACTGGACGAGGCATGGAACTATCGAATCAGTTTGTGACTGCAGAAACAAACAAAACTGCAGCAATTGTAGTAAAACTGTTAGAAACTCTTCTTGGTCGTGGACACACAGTGTGGATGGACAATTTTTATATATCCACCAGATTTGGCTCGTTTCATAAAGTCCAAAAAAACAAACTGTGTTGGAACTTTACGTGCTAACTGGAAAAATGTCCCTCCTGCAGTGAAGAATAAGAAATTGAAGAAAGGAGAGCAGTGTGGTCAACACTCTGGAGATGTGGCAGTTCTCGCGTGGCAAGATAAAAAGTGAGTCACCATGATATCTACATACCACAAAGATGATGTGTGTGTGACTGTAAACAAAGCAAAGCGAGAAGAAACAAAGCCTGTGGTTGTTCGGGACTACAACAGAAACATGCTAGGAGTGGATCTGAAGGATCAAATGCTACAGCCGTACTTGCTGGAACGAAAGAGAGAAACAAAGTGGTACGTGAAATTATTCAAGAGACTACTCAATGTAGCAACACATAATGCAATGCAAATAACAAAAACATAGACTCCCTAAAATTCAGACGTTTATTTGCAGAAGGCCTCGTGGAAAAACACGGTTCTGGTGTTCCTCGTCTTGTATACGGCCATCCGTCAGTTGAGCCGCCACCTAATAGACTCTCAGAACGACATTTCCCGGAGCATATTCCTGCCACAGGAAAGAAGGCAAGACCTCAAAGAAAATGTGTGTTGTGTACAAAACACGGAAAGAGGAGAGATTCTACTTATTGGTGTAGTGAATGTGAGGCAGGGTTGTGTTTAGATGGATGTTTCAAGAACTACCATACAAAACTCAACTTCTAATCCACTTGCTTCCATTGCTCATACACAGGGTGCTCATGTTATAAGGTAAGATTATAAAACCATCTTTTAAGAGGATTTCAGTGAAAAATTCATAATTTTATCTCATATAGTTCAAAAGTTATGATAAATAAAGTATTTTAGAGCAAAATTTAAATGGGCATTCAAAAAATATTACCGCAGGACAAGCACAACAGCGGTATTTAAATGCCTGCGCTGAAGGGTTGTTGTCTGTTTTAATGCCAGTGAATTAGGTGCATTTACATGTGGAGAGTTAACTTCAAGGAAGAAAACAAAATGCGGGCAGAAAAGTACCTGATGGCTGAAAGGAAATAAGTAATTGTGGTTATACTGGGAATTAACATTGTGAGGGACAGGGAAGGAAATGGTTCCCAAAGCGAAGAACACTAAGAACAATATTTGCTTCTTTGGGGACCTAAATTAAAATTGCCATTTATCATAAAAGTGACAGAAATGAGAAACACTCTTTGGAATGTAATTTGAGATGTATTTTTGTGATGGGAGAGATATGAATTATATCTTCTTTTGCAGTCTAATTCTGTTAGCAGATGTGATTGTGCTTGAACACTTCCTACCAGGAGTGCCAAATCTCATTGCGAGTGACACCCAAATACATTCGGATGATGGAAGAACAAGGGCAGAGGAAAATGAAGAGTCATCCATTCAACACTGTAAGTTTTTTCACACTTTTTTACCATAAAATATAATTGTTTAAGTTCTAAACTGCCTTGTATATGGAACTAATACATTATAGTCCTGATTCTTCTTCTATCTTGGTTCTACAACCCAGTTGTGGGTCTTTGCTGCCTCCTTTTTGGAGGTTTTCCTTGTCTTTGAAGGATGCATTTGTGAGTAGCGAGTGACCAGCCCACTGCCTCTGCACAATTTCTACTCAATCCTGATTTGACTGCTAGAGCCATCTAGTAGTGAGATTATCAAATCTGAACAGGTCAGAAGGATGATCAGATAATTTAAAATGTCAAATAATTCAGAAGACTGAAGAAAAAGAAGAGGGTGGCACTGATAATGCCATATTCTTTCCAAAACAAATAATGAAGTCACTCTGAAGAAACTAGTTTCACAAAATGTAGAAGGGGCTTGGTCAGGAAGTGTATTCATTCTGCGATGGCACATTGATAAAATGGAATTTCAGATAACTGGGACCCTTCCGTATTTATAAGAAAACCCAGCGCGCAGTTTTAAGGCTTTCAGTAATGTTTCTAGATATTATTTTTTTGAACTTCAGTAAATAAATAAAAAGTGGTTTGCATTCCCAGCAGTGGGCTGTCCGTAGGGTGGGGTGAGTGTTCAGGACCCCACATTTTGACATTATGAAGCATGATATATTTCATGCTGAGTGAGAAATTAAGCACCCTATAGATAGAAAATAAACACAGAGCATATTGGTTTAATTGTAATCATAGGATAGAGACAGGAATACATGCACAGTTTAAGTAAAGTAAAACTTATTACAGATGCCGATCTTATGGAACGGACCCACATAGACTGCTTTACCCAGGCCCTCTGCCCCTCTAGGAATGGCTCCTAATGAAACATCTCATGTGTAATAATTCTGGAAACACTGGCATTAGTTACACAGTAGAATTACATTAAGAGACTTAGGAAGAAACTGCAAAACTTGCAGGGAGGTCAGAATTTCAGAAGAAACCTCTCAATGCATGACCAGACAACTTGAAACTTCCCTCCCAGCAAATGTGACATTGCAGAACTCTTAGAGAGCACCACAATTTATATTCACACAAAAGACGTCATTTGATGACTTGTACATACTCTGTTGACGATTGGAAGGTCTTTTAAACTCAGGTGCTCTCGTGTCTGCTTTGCCAGGCTACAGTCTGCTCTAAGCACTCCATTCCATACCATTAAATCTTGTGATTTGTACTACAGGACACCACGTGGGATGATTTCAGGGCAAAGGCAGTAATTCCTGTTTCTCCATGACAACATTGTCGATGATGATGAAGACCAGTTTGGCGTGGATGCTCACCATCGGTTACCGGGCACACAGTCTCACTTTCAAGGTGAGCCCAAGTGCTTTGCAACATTTTAGTATGTCAATACATATATTTATTTTAAAATAATGTTGTTTAAAATTTTATAACATTTACAATATAAATTGCATTATGTTATATTTTATATTTTATGGCGCTTGCTGTGTCGTATAATATTACATCTTTCCAGCGCTTTTGATTTTTGACGACATGTTTCGATGTTTACCACATCATCTTCAGGCTTATCAATACATTCATTTATTAAGATATAAATTAAGATATAAATTTTAGTATGTGTTGCATGAGAATAAAGTTTATTTCTGGACATTCTATTACTTTAAGAAAAAGTGCTGAACCTGAGGGCCATGTTGCCTTCAAGTTACATAATAATGTAAATGTTGCTGTTCTGATTAGGCCTTGGCTGATGTTTGTACACTGTAACTCTGGTATGATTCAACATTCACACTGCCTTATTCTTTAACTTGCTTAATGCATATAAATGGCAGGTACTAGCAAAATAATGGTCATGACTGTGAACTGCAGACTGATATCAGTAACATAATGGGTTGTTCACATCTTGAAGTACAGTCTTTTCTAGGAGCTAAGAATTTGCTCATCTGGTCCAGAAACTAATCACGTCTAACATTTTGTAACATACATGCCCCTCAATATATCTGCAGGTATTCAACGTCTGGATGTCCTCCCATTTCGCAGGGGACGGGCCACTTCATATGTTGAAATTGTTTAAACATACTTTTTAAGAAGGTAGCTCTCGTGTGGGTTGTAATGCTGTCATGAGGTAGATTATTACAGATGTTTCAGAGGTGCCTGCAACCTCCATCATCAGGTAGATTATGATGGAGGCTGGAAGCACCTCTGAAATGTGGTTAAACTTCTACCAGACTACATGGCACAACAAACCACAGGAAACTCATATTCATACTCATTATTGTGAAGACCTGAAATTATATGTTAATAAATTAATGTTGATAATGTGGATTATGCTGAGGTGAATGAGGTTTGATGATGGACACTGAGATAGGCTGTATTGAACATTCAGAGTCGAACACAACGCAGAGTTGTTTAATTTTCATGAACTTAGTCTTTGTTTTACAGTGAAGGTACAATGTTACCATCATGTTTCCAGAGACATAACATTTGTCTTATCTTTTAAACAGTGCAGTAAGAACATTTCTGTACGTATTAATTTGCCTACTTACATGTTACTTCTGTAATACTTATTGCAATGTTTCTCATTTGTCACCTTCTCTGGACGAAATCCACAAGCAGTGCCCAGCCACAGTGATAACAACCTCCATTAGTTCTGAAGCTTGTATGTGATATATGCATTGCAAATTATATAGTTATGGAATGGTCCTTTATATTTTTGTCTCACACAATGATATTTTATTACTTGTGTTTTAAAAATAGGCAAGAAACTGACAAGCTACTTATTAGATAAATGGCTACAGGCTTTGACCATATATAACCAATTTGAGGCTCTACCAAAAATTATTATTATGGAATGGATTATATGTGGGCAAGTGTAATTTTGCTTGTTTGTTACAGTAATATATATCAGTGAACAAATATATGTGATTTTAAATATATTACATTTACAGATTAATACAGGGTGTGGCAGAATACATTAGACAATTTAAATTTGTGCAATGAGTAATTTATTTTCAGTTAATATAATAAACACTTACAGATTTGTGAAGTCTGTAGAAAAGCGTGCCATGTGATAACTACTCTTTAAAAGGATTTCAGTGAAATTTCATTATTATGTCTCATATAGTTTAAAAGTTATGATAAAAAAAGTTTTAGAGCAAAATTTAAATGGACATCAAAAAAAAAAACACTGTACGAGCTCGACTGCGGCATTTAAACCCCCCAGCTGACGGGTTAAAGACAACATCAGTCAGATGAACTCCATTGTTCTGCAAACAATCCTCTGTCCGTCGCCTGAGAGAGTTTGTTGTCTTTCTCAGCATTTCCACTGGAATTTGCAGAATGGTAGTCCTGATGGCTTCCTTCAACCTGTCGATGGTTTGAGGGTGATACTCGTAGAAATTGTGCTTTAAATATCCCCATAAGAAGTAGTCACACGGGGTTAAATCTGGCGAGAGTGGAGGCCAAGCGACATCACCATATCTCGAGATAACACGTCCTGGGAACATTTCTCGAACTGTTTGCATCGAGATGTCGCGCCATCTTGTTGAAACCATACTAAGCGTATGTCATTGTGGCTTCGGCATAGTTCTGGCAGAAGAAATTCGTTAAGCATGGCCACATAACTCTCAGCAGTTACCATAACTACATGTCCGTTGTTGTCTTCTAAAAAGTATGGTCCTAAAATGCCAAATGAACTGAGTCCACGCCACACTGTGACCTTCTGGCTATGCAAAGGTGATTGATGCAGTAAGCGTGGGTTTTCTTCTGCCCAGTACCTGAAATTCTGCTTATTAACATACCTGCTTAGATGAAAATGGGCTTCATCTGAATCATTATTTTTAAAAAAAAGCTCCACAGCAAATACACGAAAATCACACGACCAACGCTCCATGGCAACTAATAGGCTTTGAACTGCTCTAGACACAGCCGCAACAATCGGCGCGCTATCTACCGGCATATGTATTTGACGCGAATTTCAAATCGTCTAATCAATTCTGCCTCACCCTATATTGAAGATGCACTTACATCATATTTGCAACCTTGAATTTATTCCCAAAAGCATAATTCCATCATGGCAGGCTGTATTCATCAACTGACCTTAGACAAACTCCACAGCTTCTTGGGTCATGCCATAGCTCAGGTGGTTAGTCGTGGAGTTCTCAATGTGGGAGCCCGGGTTGAAACCCAAGGCTGTTCTATGATTTATGGTGGGCAAAATGACACTGGGACACACTCATTTCAGAGATGTTTGGTTCACTCAGACACTAGATTATTATTGTCCATTGTTCCGCATTATTTGTGGGCTGTGCTATCAGCTTTCTAGACACATTTCCAGACAGGCAGTTGCCTCCCTTCTCAATAATAACAGTAATGCAAAATGTAGAAATATTAAAATCAAATATTACACAGTTAAAATCAATAATTTAAAATATATAGTGGTCTGTGGATTGTATAAAATCTACTGTTGCCATGCGTAATGTAGCTCTGATGTTTCTCGTTTATCAATGCTAAAATAAAACTTGGGACCAGCTTTACATGGAGTGTTAAACTTTTATTATTGTAATTTATGCTTAGTGT